ATGGAAATGATCAGGAAGGCGATGAACTGGATGGAGTTGATCTGAATGGAGATGCTCTGGATGGAGGCGAACTGATTGGAGATAATTGGATAGAAATGATCTGAATAGAGATGATTAGCGTCGAGATGAACTAGATGGGGATGATCGGCATGGAGATGATCTCCAGGGAAACCTTGGTAGATACATATTGAAAATGTTGAATGCTTCAGGTCTCTGCCTAAGCTTAGCTCATGTGCACTGGGCAAGTGGGATTTGTTGTTGTTAAAGTTCTGTAGAGTTGGTTTTAACTCATGTTGTTGTTAGGTGTCACCGAGTTGGTTCCGACTCATAGTGACCCTATGCACAACAGAACAAAACATTGCCTGGTCCCATGCCAATTTCACAATCAATACTTTGCTGCTGCCACTGTGCCAATCCATCTAGTGTGTGCGTGTGTGTGGGTCTTCCTCTCTTTTGCTGACTTCCCACTTTACCAAGCATGATGTCCTTCTCCAGGGACTAGTTCCTCCTGACGACGTATGAGACAGGAAGTCTAGTCATCCTGGCTTTCAAGGAGCATTCTGGTAGCACTTCTTCCAACACAGATCTGTTTGCTTTTCTGGCAGTCCACAGCATGTTCAATATTCTTTTCCAACACCATATCTCAAATGCATCAGTCTTTCTGAATCAATGTCCAACTTTTACATGCATATGAGGTTATTGTAAACACTTGTGTCAGGTGCATCTTACTCCTCACATGGACAGCTTTGCTGTTGTGTGATTTCTTGACGGCTGTTTTCATGAGTTGATGGTGGATTCAAGCAAAATGAAGTCTTTGAGAACTTCAATCTTTTCTCTATTTATCATGATATTATGTATTGGCCCAGTGGGTCTGTGAGATAGAATGAGCTGGAACACAAACACCCACGTGTAAGGCTTTATTGGAGGTCAGAAGGAAAGAGAGAGAGATATTGCGGTGGGGGGGAGTGGGGCGAAGGATTGTTATACTGGTCGAAGAGGAGGGAGGGGTTGAGATTAGTGGAGGTAGGTGATTGGTTGACTAGGGATGACTGACGTGCCAGTAGGGAGAGAGGAAGTTCTGGTAGGGAGAGCGAAAGCTGGGCAAGCAGCCATTTTATTATGCTTGTGGATGAGAGATTCTATCATGGTCTTCAATATGTCATCCCAGCATAGTAATCCATATGATTGTCAGACTCAAAATGGCCAATCCCAGTCCATTTCAGCTCATTAATGTCTAGGATATCAATTGTAAGGACCAAGCTGATTTTACCTGATTTTGCCTACCTAGAGACTGCTTGACTAAACTCTAGTCAGGCTCAGGAAAGCATTTTAAATAGACAAGGAAAGCATTTTAGTTTTTAGTTCCCTCCAGAGGCAAGGCCAATCTCCATTCTGTACATTAGCCTGAACACGTCCTCTAGCTCCAAGAGTATGATATATGTATAAATAGCCAGGCAGCTCAAGGCCAGAGGCCAGATGTTTTCCTTTACCCTAGCCTATGAACAAAGACCACCAGTCCTGACCAATTAAACTGTAACATCTCATAGTTTGCCAATTGTTAACCAATCCAAAGATTGTAAAGCTGAGAAACCTGAGCTGTTTGAAAATTCTATAAAAACCCTGCAGACAATGAATTCGGGGCTCTTTACCTATTCTGAAATGTTGGATAAGGTTAGAGACCTGGCTCGAGCTTGATTAAACAACCCTTATGTATTTGCATGGGTACACTGCTCCTGGGTGGTCTTTGGGGACCCTGAATTCTGGGCATAACACAATCATTAGGCATTCCATTTCATTTTTGACAACTTCCAATTTTCCTAGGTTCATATTTCATACATTCCAAGCGCCAATTATCAATGGATGTTTACAGCTGTTTTTCCTCATTTTGAGTTGTGGCCCATCAGCAAATGAGGGTCCTGAAAGCGTTACATTCACACTCTACTTTGAGGAGGCAGCTCTTGCCCGTTCTATTTTGAGTGTCTTCCTACCTGAGGGACTTATCTTCCTGCAAATAAGTACTACAAACTGACAGACAGTGGTGCTTCGACTCCTAGGAGCCTGTCTACATCTTCACTGCAGCAGAAAGCCTCCTCTTTGTCCAGGGGCGGAGCCTAGTGAAGTGATACAAAGTCAAGGGGCAGACCTGAGCATCTACTACTTTTGTTATTCATTCCTGGCCGCCCTAGGCTGCGGGAGGAATGGAGGGAGGGAGGGAGGGAGTCACCACCTGTGGCTCCGCACGAGCGTGGGTGAGAGGCCTACTGGTTGCAGAAATCCTGAAGGGGCCCAGGCACGGGGACCCCCAGGGAGCCACCCAGGATCTCTGGGGGCATCACTGCGCCTAAGTGATACCTGCCTTCCAAGAATGGATGAATATGACAGGCCCAGGGATCATAAGAAGGGTGGGGAGACGTGGGGCCAGTGGGTGGGCGCGGTAAGAGGGGTTGCGGGGATCCAGGCGTGCGGGTATGGGAGAATGCGGGGACTCGGGAGTCCGTGGGAGCGGAGGCAGGGTAGGGAAGTGGGCCACAGCCCCACGCAAGTGGTTGGTTGACTGGGGGGAGGGCGGTAGGCGTGCCCTTTGCACCCCGTAGCGCCTCCTCCTCCAACACGTCTTTGTGAGGCGCCGGGTTTCAGTTTCGCTGCGGGGCTAGGTCGCGACCCAACATTGCCAGCTGCAGGCACGGCGGGCGGGCGGGAGGAAGGAGTTGGAGGGGTGCGGGGTTCAAGTGGGTGCGGGTATAGGAGGCTGCAGGATTCGGACTCAAGGTTCATGAGTGCAGGAGGCAGGGTGGAGATGTAGACTGTAGGGCAGGCAGGCCGGCTCCCAGTGGGCGACATTCCCAGAGGACAGGGTTCCACCCACCAAGCTGTCACAGGACTTCCTGGCAGGGTCCCAGGGCGACTTTGACGGGGGTGTCGTGGCTGAGGTTAGGAATCCTTAATGGCTGACAAACTCGCCTGTAACTTTTCTGAAAAAGAAACCCTGTGGTACAACGGGTCAAGCGATGGGCTGTTAACTGCAAGGTTGGTGGTTCAAACCCATCAGCCAGCTGCTCTGAGGTTGAAAGATGAGACAGTCTTCATAGAGATGACCATCATACAACCCCTGTGGAGTAGTCCTGTAGGGGGTGACTCTGATGATATTGGGTGGGTTTTCTGAAAAGGTGGCACCATCTGGCCTGGAGTGTGGCCCTGCCCTAGAGGGAGGGAACCCCAGAGCCACAGGCAGGGGGTTCAAGGGCAGCATGGCACCTACCACCATCATCTCCAGGCTCTGTGGGTAAGGGTCCTTGAGCACCTCAGAGGACCGGAAGCCTAGAAGAGGCTGGGGGTGGGAGAAGGAACAAATGCATGAGGAGTACCCAGCTCCATGCTCTAGGCATGGTGCCCCTTGGGTTCATGGGTGTGTCTGGGGAAGGGGCTTGAGATAATGTCTTTGCTGTAACTTCCCATTCCCTGTTGTAAATCATGAAGAATGTGCCCCAGACTTGATTGTATTTTGATGGCATTGATTACTATGAAAGCAATGTTTTTTGTAACGGTATATAAGGTATATAAGGGGGTTGTAAGAAAGAAAGGTATGTAAGAAAAAGTAGAGGTAAGTAGAAGGAAGGAGAAGAGAGGAAGGGGGAGAAGAAGGAATATGAGGTGGAGAGGAGACGAGAGAAGAATGGAGGGAGGATAGAGGGAGTAATGTAGAGCAGGAGCAGGGGAAGGGAGAAAAGAAGCAGAAGAGATGAGCAGGAGAGCAGGGGAGTAAAGAATGAGAGAGTGGAGTAGCATAGAAATGAGAAGAATAAAGCATGTAATAAGATTTTGAATTCATCACGACCCATTACTCCGTGTAATTCTTATTGCGGATGTCCACATCCCTCTTGGAAAAAAAAGCCTGAAATAAATTTGCTGGGGCTGGCTCTAGGCAAGAAAACGATGGTGGGCAGTTAGACCCCTGGGGCAGGAAGAGGGAAGTGGGGAAGTTGTGACCACCAAGCCACCTGCAGGAGGATTTGCAGGTCCAGAGGCTGGAAAAATGCTGTAGTCAGCACTCCTGAGAGTTCCTGGTCTAAAACCAAGAGGGAGGATGGGACCCTCACAAACTTTTCAGTCTCATCATGGGGAGAGGTACCTACCATGCCTGTCTGCTTCCAGCCTGGGCGGCTGACCTTGGCCCAGGCTGGCTGTGACCCTGACCCTACTTTGATGTCACTACCAAGAAGAGCCAAATGGTCAAGAGGAAGAGTGGGAGCTTTCTAGATGGCAGCTGCCAAGCCCCCAGAGCCCCAGATATCAGGAATCCAATCCATTCACCCTGGCTCTGCCGGCCCTGACCCTGGCTGTGCCAGTCCATAGTCCCCAGGCCAACCTGTGAGCAGGTGCTTCGTCCCCATCCCTGATGACCTGTCCAGTACACACAGCAGTAGGTGGTCCCTGGCTTTGGCAGTGGTCTGAGGGTTTGCCCCCAATCATCAGGGTATCAAAGGAAAACAGTGTCTATGATAATTAGTCCTAAATTTCTGAATGATCTCTCACAGCTGGAAATGGAAACTGATGGGGGAAATAGAAAGAGCACAGTGTCCCCCCCTCCCTTCCCAAGTGGCGCCCAGGACACATGTCATCCCTGCCATCCCCAGCCCTCTGACCCCCGCTTCTTCTCCATCCCCGGCTCCCTGGAGCCCCAGAGCTGCACAGGAGACTTTCTGAGTAATGACTGAGGCAGTGGTCTCAGGAGGTCAGGAGTGGGGGTGCTGGGAGCCACAGGGGAGAGTCGAGGGCAGAGGCAACCAGGCATGAGCAGTGCGGTGGGAGATCGGGTGAGGGCTGAGTTTTGATTGGAGCAGTGAGTGCTGGTGGACCGCTGAATTTCACTTTTTCAGGAGAGGAAAAGGAAACCGAAACCCAGGTCACATGACTTGCAGCTCCGTATATAGCTGGCTGCCCCAAGACTTTCGGGACTCCGGGTTTCAGGTCTGCAGGGGAATCTCCCCCTCCCCAGAGGCATGGAGTGCCCTTCCTGCCATCATCTCTCCACAGAGGACAAGCCCAAATTCTGCAGCCAATGTGGAGCCAGGCTTCCTGAAGTGCCCCAAACAGGTGAGGCCAGAGGGGCATGGGCGGGGGGCCACGGACTCCGGAGTCCAGGGTGGTCGTCAGCGCCCCAACCCCTCCAACTTCCACACCGGAAATGGAGAGCGGCTTTGCAGGTGGCGCCAGGGCCGGGCGGTTGGATGGCAGTGGGGTTTCTGAAGCGGCACTTTCAGCAGAAGAGCATCTCGTCGGGTCCTTTGCCAGAGGCGCCGGGAGTTCTGGAGACGCTGGGGCTTTTATTTTGCAATTGCAATTTCTTTTCTCTGGAAGGACTCCCATGTGGGGAGGCCAGGGCTGGGCTGCCTGAGGGGCTTCTTAGAGGGTTTCTGAGGATGCTGGTGGGTGGGCGGGTCTCAGGTGTTACTGTGGGATGGCGACAAGGCATGCTTGTAGCAAAGCTTCTTATGAACTCCGTCTGGTTCAACCCCTGCTGAGAATTTGCCTTCCCAACCCAGATATTTCAGAATCTACAATTTACCAAGATCCCCACATGATTCTAAAGCACACAGGAGATGTATGAGAATCACCTGGGATCTTGTTACAGTGTAGGTTCTGATTCAGTGTATCTGGAATGAAATGCAGATTCTCACTGGGGGATTGAACCAGCAGAAGGGATTGACTGACGTTCAGGACCTCAAACGGGCTTGCTTGATATCTCAGGTCCCTTCTCTGTGTCTTGGGGACATGGTCCTACTTCATGGTAGCACCCAAATTCCTCTTCCTCTTGCACTGTCACCTAAACGCCTGTCCCTCCACCACTCTCCTCCTTACCCTGTCCGAAGCTGAGCTCCTGTCTCCCCCCACCTGTCCCTTCAGACTCCCCTTTCCAAATCTGCAGCAATGCATTTTACAGCTCCTGATTTTACCCTCTGAGAGGAGCTTTGGGGAGCAGCGGACTTATTGGCTTCTCCATCAGAACTGACCTGGAGTCTGACCACCCTTTACAACCACAGCCAGCCCTCCCCTGATGCCCAGCTGCCCCTTTACTGGACAGTCCACCCCTAGCACTGGACCCCGTCCATGTGTAACTCCACAGGAGACCTTGTCCATTCCTTTCCCCAAGTTCCTGGCACATAGTAGGTGCTCAGAAAATATTTGTTGAGGGAATGAAAGCAGGTTGGAGAGAGGGCTCACCATCAGCACGTCTCCTCAGTACCAGAGCTCCTTGCCCACCCACCTCTGGAGACCCTGGTGTCACACTTGGTGTTGGGGACATCTGATGGAGGGTCCCCCTTTTAGATGCTGCTCTCCATCGTAGGTGCTGTCTTGGTGGGTATCTGTTCTTGCCCACCTCTGAGAGGAATTTGGGGGAGCAGTCAGTCTTGAGGGGCCCAGCTCTCCTCAGGATCCTGAGACCTCAGTGGTCCCCATTGTCAGCAGCTACTTGGTCTGGTCATGGATTCCGTGCTGTCCAGATCTCTTTGTGTCCTGCTGGTTCCTGTAGGTCTGAAGATCCTGGCCCAGTCCAGGTCCGCCCCTCTCCAAGGACGGGGTCAATGTGCACCCCTGGGCTAACAGGTGACTTCCTGCTTTTTACACCCTAAGCTGTGAATTTCTTATTTTGAAGAAAAGGAAACTGAAACCAAGATGAGAGGACTTGGGATCTGTGTGGGGAAGGACAGGATGTTTCCTCCTTTAGCAATTGTCTGCATGGTGTGGGTGGGGTAGTTCCTGGGGAGCCTGGGGGAAGGACTAGCGAGGCCCAGGAACTCCCATGTGCCCAGACCTCCAGGGCGCCTGGGTCTTGAGGGTGGGGGACCATGGGGACTCAGGTCAGTCAGGGATGCAGGTGCAGCTTGAGAGGTGATGCTTGGGCTGGTCTGATGGTTGTTGTTGTTCGGTATCATTGAGTTGGTTCCGACCCATAGCGACCCTGTATAGGGTTTCCGAGGAGCAGCTGGTGAGCTTGAACCGCCGACCTTGCAGTTCAAATGGTTTTGCAGTCTGGCGCATTAACCCACAGCGCCACAAAAGGATTATTTTATGAAAAAGCTGCAACAACAAATTGGAGTCCTGATATGATGCTGTGGGTTAATGTGCTGAACTGCAAAATCG